CAATACTATCTTCACGGTGAATAAAAACAGGAACACATCGTCATTGTTGTTGCTGCCATCAGTTGTGGAACAAAATTATTTTTGTCCAATCATAGAATATCAGGAGGTCATCTAGTCCAACCCCCTGCTCAAAGCAGGACCAATTCCCAACTAAATCATCCCAGCCAAGGCTTTATCAAGCCTGACCTTGAAAACCTCTAAGGAAGGCGATTCCACCACCTCCCTAGGTAACCCAGTCCAGTGCTTCACCATCCTCCTAGTGAAAAAGTTTTCCCTAATATCCAACTTAAACCTCCCCCACTGCAACTTGAGACCATTACTCCTTGTTCTATCATCTGGTACCACTGAGAACAGTCTAGATCCATATACATTGGAACCCCCTTTCAGGTAGTTGAAAGCAGCTATCAAATCCCCCCTCATTCTTCTCTTCTGCAGACTAAACAATCCCAGTTCCCTCAGCCTCTCCTCATAAAAGTCACGTGCTCCAGCCCCCTAATAATTTTTGTTGCTCTCCGCTGGACTCTTCCCAATTTTTCAACATCCTTTTTGTAGTGTGGGGCCCAAAACTGGACACAGTACTCCAGATGAGGCCTCAACAATGTCGAATAGAGGGGAACGATCACGTCCCTCGATTTGCTGGCAATGCCCCTACTTAAACAGCCCAAAATGCCATTAGCCTTCTTGGCAACAAGGGCACACTGTTGACCCATCCTTTGCATATATGTTGTTGTCAGTGATGTTAACTGAACAAGGAAAAATATCACTCCATATATTGGTCTGACATATGCATATTTCATAGCAATTGTGCTTAGTTGGAAATATAAATCTAAACAATTTTCCAGCATAATCTGTTGGAGCTAGAAGGAGATTATACTCAATTAAAAAAACGGAAAACTATTTCTGCTAAAATAATTTCATTTTCCTTCTGCTTTTAGGACAAAAGAAAATTGTTGGTTTTGTATATACTTGCTAAAGCAGACGCAGTGGTTTTTACATTTTAGTATTCTTTTGTTTCAACAATTTTTTAATCATTAATTCTTCCTCTACTGCTCTTAAAATCCAACAACACAATTCATTAAACGCATAGCACTTAATCCAGTCTAGATCCTTTAACAAACTGCTATGTAATTCAGCTGGCACTCTGAAAAGAACATTTCCTCTTTTCTTGTTCCATTATGACAGAACTTTCTATAATCTGCAATTATCTCTACCCTACAAAACACACAAATGCGTGAAGGACAAATTCAGGAACTCTATCAGCATCATGAGGAGAAACAGGGAGACCAATGAAAACATGCTGACCTTCCAAAGATACAACATAGCATAACATACTGTACAAAAAAAAATCTAAATTATATATTTCCAATGCATTCTGCAGGGGGAAAAGTCTCTTATATTCTCCTGTTTCTTGCTCCATAGGAAACACGACATTTCTCAATCTGAGCTTGGTTTTTTTCTTTTTATATCATGTTTGATTCTTCAAGGCATTACACTGATATTATAATGTCAATGCCAATCAACTGGTACTTCCTTAATTTAGGTGTTCCTTTCTCATTTCTACATGGGGAACACACTTTCAAACACCCTTACCAAAGAAGAATAAATTGTACCAGTTCACAACACACTTTTATTTTGTTTTTCTTAATTTGGATACCCAATATTTGGCCATATAGATCTGCAAACTTCAGAAATGTGAAACCACAGGCAGATAAACTCAACTGTCATCCACAGCAGCTTGGAGTCAATACCAGTACCATCTTTTTCTTACACATTTCAGCGTCCCAAACTATGCTAAATTCATTTATTTGGCAAGTAAGGGCTGTTTGTTTTAATTATTTATTATCGTACTTCACAGCATATCAGCAAATATGCAGTCACCGATTGTGTAAAATGAAACCTCACTAAAATGAGATTCCTCACTACAGCTCTATTAATTAAATCCTTACAGAAATGCCAGGTAAAACATCTAGATGTTTTTGGTGAGAAACACTGAGTTTGTGGATTAGCAAATTGAAACGTAGCAAAGTTCTGCTGTACTCAGATATACTTCCATTCTGCCCCTTTATTGATACCAATTAAAGCGTTCAGTAATAGAGCCTTAAGGATTAACAGAGAAGCAAAAAATGAGATACATGCTCATCTGACAGTTCTTTTGTTATCCTGCAACAGAAATGGCAGCGTTTTACTACTAAGGCAATTGCAGCAGGTCTCAATAGAATTCTTCAGACTCTAAACCAAGTGTTAAAATAAAGTTAAATGCTAATGAACTATTAAGTTGTTCCCCCCAACAGAACCCTCGATACAGAAGCCAACTTTACTTATTGCTCCATCTTGTCTTTTTATACTGGTTTATCCCTCTCACTACTCTAATGCTTTGCTTCATTCTCCATTATCACTATCTTTCTGCTTCTTCAGCATTGTCCCTCCATTTCAGGTCTGTTTATCAAACTAACCCTATAAAACGTCATACTCTAACTGCAGAACCCTGTCTCTATACAATATCCCTGGCAAGCCCTATTCCAGTCAGCATACCTCTCAAAAGGCTTGTCTTTACTGCAACAGGCAGCGTTAGTTAGTACACTCGAGTTTGACTAGCTTGAGTGCAGTGACCGTGGCTGCTCTATAGAACATTCAAACTACATAACATGATTTGATTAGCAGGACAGTGTCAGAGGCTTAGCATCTGATGAGTTGTTGGAAACTCAAGCTGCTGGAAACTCACTCCATTACTAGCTCCAGCATCAGCAGCACTTGAGCTTCAATTTTTTTTTTTTTAAATGGAGATATCCCATCTCCCAGAACTGGAAGGGACCTTGAAAGGTCATCGAGTCCAGCCCCCTGCCTTCACTAGCAGGACCAAGTACTGATTTTGCCCCAGATCCCCAAGTGGCCCCCTCAAGGATTGAACTCACAACCCTGGGTTTAGCAGGCCAATGCTCAAACCACTGAGCTATCCCTCCCCCCATCTCACACCTTGGATGCACGCCCTTAAAGCATTATTTAACTCGAGCTTAGAGATTTTTGTGTGTGCACAGGAGTTGGGCAAAACTCAACTTATACCTGGAGCTAATAATGCTGTGAAGACACGTCCTAATTCTGTGGCCACTGCCCTCTTTTTCAAGTATAACATATTCCTCTGACCTCAATGTACGAAGTCTGCTCTTGCGTTACCAGTGGTTTTTCTTTTCCCAAATTTTCCAATCACAAATCACTAACTTCAGTGTAATGCATTTATAAAGGGTCTACAATCCCTTCTGGGAGTTGATGAGGGCACTGGGAGCACAACCAACAGCACACTTCCCCTACCCCTGAGAATGCCCACTGCATGAATAGAATTGAAGTTTCATCTGATCAGAGGGCTGAAGAGAAAGTATATCGGGACTGAGAAGTTGGAGGAAGTGAAAGAATCACAGAACAACTGCACAACTTTGGCTTTTTGAGATCTGAAGGTGACACTATCTTCTGCTTCAGAAACTCTAGAAGTTTTAACTTGCTGAGTTTTCAGAGCACTTTTTCAGTGGGAGGGGAAAACCTGGCCCTAAGCAAATGAGAATGTACTCTCTGAATATCCTAAAGGTTAAATGAAGAGCAGATTCCCTTCCAACACCTGAGATCAGGGATCTATGTTTCTTCTACAAAGTGAAATACATCATCAGTTGCAACAGAGAAGGTAACAGCATTTCCCACTTGGCTGTAAAAGTTGTAGGTATGTCATCAAATAAAGCAAGGAAAGTACAGGGTTCTGAACTCAGGATTTGACAGCTAAGAGAAGAAGGAAACAACTTTCAAATATAAAATATTTGTGTTTGAAAATGAAAATATATTTACTATTTTAAGCAGAAAAATTCTGTTAATGATGTTTTTAATACCAAGGCTTTGCTGTTCTTTGAATATCTATTCTGAACTGCATTCCAGTTTGGACCACTCAAATATAAATATTTTATTTGTATACAGCAGTAGTCACCCAAACTGCGAGGTGTGCCCCCCTAGAGGGGTGCGGAGGACCATTCGGGAGGGGGGGCGGGGCAGGGCATGGACCAGCCCCAATGGGGGGCAGGGAGGGAGCATCACCCAAGCAGCTCTGTCCCCAGCTGCAGCTCTGCCCCGCCCTGCAGCTCTGCTCCGCTCCCCCCGATCGGGCCCTGGCCCCAACTGAGGGAGACACCTTAAAGGAACTGGATTGTCAAAGGGCAAGTGCTTAGCAGTTTCTAATAAACATTCCCATTTTAATGTCTCTTACGTTGAGCACCCAAACATTGAGGCACACCAAATCACTAGTCACTTTTTGAAAATTTAAGCCTGAGAGTTTATCTATTGGTTTTCATCTATTTGATCAGGTTTGGAATGTGGTGATCAGTTGCTGCCCATTATTTTTAACAAGAGCTGATTTGCCTAACATGGTGTATTACAGATTCATTGCTGTGAGTAAACTGCTTCAATTCCCACAAGTAGTCAACAAGAACAGTAGAGAGATAAGGTGGGTGAGGTAATATCTTTTATTGGACCAACTTCTGTTGGTGAGAAAAACAACAGAAGTTGGTCCAATAAAAGATATTGCCTTCCCCACCGTGTCTCTCTAATATCCTGGGACCAGCACAGCTACAACAACACTGGAAAAACAATAGAGGTACAACTTGGATTAAGCTAGTCACCATCCATGGGCATGTCCCGTGCTGTGGCAAACATTTGAGGCATTTAAAAAACAAAATGGGTTTAAAAAACTAAAAATGTTTGCTTGTAAATAGCATCCATTACTATATATATTACTATCCATTGCTATATAGATTACTATATTGCAGAAATAGAGCCCTTACAGATTTTCCCTCACTATATTTGCAGCTTCCCCAGCCATACAAAGTAATAAGCTTGGACTGCTAAACATGGATAGGACACGAGAACTGTCATGAGACCACGAGAGAAGGGAACATTCCCCAAGATAAAAATCAAAATCAATGCAAGTTTTTAAAATTTTATGAGTAAAACTTGTTTTAAAATCCTACCTGATTTGCTCTTTCGAGGTCCGTCATGATCATCTCAATTTCATCAGCCCTGGGAAAACAAACAAGCATAAGCACTGTTACTATACGAGAAGAAGAGCCTCTAGGTTGTGTGTTTTCAGTCTATTATGCAATTTTTAACATTCATATAGAAAAATACCAGATTGAAATATTTAAATAGGACACAGTTAAGTCTGAAAGACCAAACTTTTGACCCAATAGCTCTATTTTGGATTTCACTTGTGCATACAGGTATGTACTTCCCTCTTACCCACTATGCATGTAAGATCGTGAAAAAGAATTATGCATCAGTTTGCTGCTTTAAGGTCACTATCATTATACATTTTATCTAAAAATACTTGGCTTGCAAACTTTAAGAAGTAAAACAAAACAATTTCACAGTACTTAGAATCGATTACTCAAAAGGTTAGATTTTTGGCCTCTGAATCATGAAAAAATTAAAAATACTGAAAAAAGATTAAAGTTGAAAGTGCTTCAGTTCTGCTGGGGTATCTAAATATCATAACATTCTCCAAACATCTGGCCATTTTACATTCTGTACTGGAAGAAGTGCTGCAATACCTGGGCAAAGTGAAGGAAGTAAATAGCAAAGTTTCAAATTTACATCTGAATTTCCTAACTTTATGTTTTTGACCATATTTTAACATTTATAGCCATTTCCCTCTTTTTAAAATTTCGTTTAAAATTTTCAAGAAATGATACACCAGGAAGTTTTAAAAAAATCAAAATATAGATTTAAAGTATCAGACAGTATTGTTAGTTTAGAGTCAGGCCCGTAATACATTTTATAAAAATTGATAAGACTGTTAAAGGGTTACAGAAATGTAAGTAGTTAAGGAAAAGCAGTCCAATCAAACAATTTATATTCATGTATTGGGTGCTGGCTACCTTAGACAACTAGCTCTACACATGCAAACTCTTGCCCCTGCATGGAGCCCCACTGATTTCCATGGGACTCTGCCCACTTGGATGCAGTTGTAGGATCAGAGCCCTACAGCCTGAGGATAAAAGTGGTCTCTATTTTATACAAATATCCTTTTTTTTTCCGACGGGGGGGGGGGGGAAGGGGAGCACCTGCTAGCAGGACATCATCAGTGAAGGCTTTTAGAGTCTGGGATTCCCTCCTTCTGCCAATGCAAAACAGTCAGCATTTTTTTTCCTGTTGGGCATGCAGTAAGGCCCATTTATTTGCTGGGGTCTGTGCTAGGAGAGGGGTGCAATGATGCAATTGTTTTAAACTGTATCCCTGGTTTCTAATATTCACCGGAGCTCCAAGAATTGCCTGTTGAGGTCTCCTTTGGATAATATGGAAAACAGACCAACATGTGTTTTGCAGTGCAATCTTTTCTCTTTTGGCATGAGCTGATGAACTATTATACTGGGAAGAAGACATGCGCAAGATGTTCTGAATTACTAACACGCATTATTTACTGGACTATATATTTTCCCTTGGGACAAACATAGTTCCAAGTGTTTAGGTACCAATGACATGAACTTGGAGAGGTTATATGAGTCTGTGATTACTTTTATATGCCAGTTTTGAAATAGAAATCTCTTTTTTTAGCATCAGGCCTGAAAAGTCTGTTCCCACTGCTAAACCACACATTAAAATGAAGCTATTTTTAGAAAGGGATTTTCATACAGAAAACAGTGTCTCTTAATAGGATAAGTACCAGAACATTCAAATGATCAAATAAGGCATCTCCAGAGACGTACCAGATGGAAGAGGTCAAGTTAAAGCACTGAAGAAACTGTTGTTTTATCTCAGTTTAGAAAAAAAATCTTTACGGCTCTTAAAAGAAAACTTCAGTGTAATAAAAGATATTTTGTTATTATTATTATTATTGTCATTCATTGCAAGCCAACAAGATTTCTGGCTCCAAACATAAGAAGAAGATGACAGTCCCTGCCTACAAGATTACAATCTAATATAGACAGACATAACAGTTCTGACACATACAAAGCATGAAATGCTGGTCTGAGTCAGAGGTGGCGTAAAAGTCCAGCATCGGTCATTTCTTAAAGACCTTGTGAAGAAATGTATTTTGAGGAGGAATTTTAAGTAGGAGGGAAAGGTGGTCTGGTACCAGAGAACAGGGAGAAGATTCCAAACATAAGGAACATTGTGAGAGGGGGATACAAAACAGGGAAGCAGGAGAGAGGCTTGGGACAAGAAAAGGGAGAGGAAATAGAAAGAGGGGAAAGCAGAGATCTAAGTTGGAGCTGAATGCAGTGCCTGACAGGTGACGACAAGGTGCTTGAACTTTTTTAGGACAATCACTGTATCTAATTACAAAGAAGTATAAATCCCAGTATTTTAAAGCGATAGCATATTTGGGGCAGAATTTAAGAGACCTACCATAGCACTGCTGGGGACACCCATGTACAAGAGGCTAAACAAGGCTGCAGGACTCTAAAAAATAAGGATTCAAGTTCTACCCTCAGATATACAATCTCACTGATTATAGTGGGAAGTGTCCACCTGTATCTAAGGGCAACTTTTTCCTTATATTCAGCTGTATACCACCTGACTGATTTTGGGGTGTACTTCTTTCTCCTTTTCACACAGGTATTCGTCCTACCTTGTTTTTCTACCTCATATTACTTCTGTATACATCTAATAAAAAGATGCAAACTCAAAATAAACATCTCTAGTGTAGCAATCTGAACACCCAGTGAGGCTGTGCTGTAACCATAAATATTATCTTTAAGTACAGTAATGAATTAAATTACTGTATGCTCTTTCCAAGAGCAAGTGTCAACAGCATTCAGAAGAATCTTCAAAAGGATTAATTCTTTTCATTTTAAAAGCTCAACTACCACATCAATAGCTGGCACTCCGACAGTCTAAAATCACTTATGTCTTAAAGTCTCCAATAGCTATGTACATTGTTTGCTCAGCAAAAGTATTTATTATAAAAAAAATGCAAGTTCTCTCACCTTTTTATGTGCTTATAAAAACAAGCTTTCATTTATTTATTACTTACAAGGCACTATGTAATGCTCAGCCTTCAAGGCAGTGGATGATTCCATTTTGGTCTAGAAAACATAGCTCACTGAATCAGAACCACAAAGGTCATTCCAGTGCACTCTCTGTATGAGCTAGTTTCTGCAACATTTACTCACTTTGAGTAAACTCTTTCAACAGTTCCATTTATTTAAATGGAACTATTCAAGAAGCACAGTACTACTCAACCAACCTAAGGGGGGGAGGTGCAGAATCGGGTCCTATGGGTTTTAACTTAAATTCTGATAAGAAACTTAAAAGAATATGATCAAGTTTAAATAAGCATAAAAAACTATGAATTGATTATAATCCTGGATCTGCAGATGGCTTCAAACAACAGCTCTAAGAGAGGTGTGAACTGCCCTATTTATCTCAATAGGCTGTGAACTCTGTAAAAGAAAAACAATTTCACGTCAACATTATTAGTTATTTCACTGCTGACCATTTTAGAAGAAACATCCAACTCATGTGTGATCCTGGGACAAACTGCCTCACTCACCCTTCTACGGTCCCTAAAATCTAGAGCGCACTGAAAATGAAAATGTGGGATCAGAATAAAATCAATTTCATTTTAATTGACATTAAAAGGCAGGTGTGTGCGACTGTACATGTGAGCCCGGAATCTCTTTGCAGCACTGTCTATTCGGGCTGTGCAAGCACTAGGTAACTCATAAGAATGTAAAATAAGAACAACCATATTAGGTCAGACCAAAGGTTCATCTAGCCCAGTATCCTGGCTTCTGACAGTGACCAATTCCAGGTGCCACAGAGGGAATGAACAGAACAGGTCATCATCAAGTGATCCATCCCATTGCCCATTCCCAGCTTCTGGCAAACTAAGGCTAGGTACACCATCCCTGCCCATCCTGGCTAATAGCCACTGATGGACCTATCCTCTGGGAACTTATCTAGTTCTTTTTTTAACCGTGTTATAGTCTTGGCCTTCACAACATACTCTGGCAAGGAGTTCCATACGTTGACTGTGCACTGTGTGAAAAAATACTTTTTGTTTGTTTTAAACCTGTTGCCTACTAATTTCATTTGGTGACCCCTAGCTCTTGTGTTATAAGAAGGAGTAAATAACACTTCCTTGTTTACTTTCTCCACAACAGTCATGATTTTATAGACCTCTATCATATTCCCCCTTAGTTGCCTCTTTTCCAAGCTGAAAAGTCCCAGTCTTACTAATCTCTCTTCATACGGAAGACATTCCATACCCCTTATCATTTTTATTGCCTTTTCTGAACCCTTTCCAGTTTCAATATATCTTTTTTGAGATGGGGCAACCACATCTGCACCCAGTATTCAAAGTGTGGGCGTACCATGGATTTATATAGAGGCAACATGATATTTTCTGTCTTATCATCTATCCCTTTCTTAATAGTTCCCAAAGTTCTGTTAGTTTTTTTGACTGCTGCTGCACACTGAGTGGATGTTTTCAGAGAACTATCCACAATGACTCCTAGATCTTTCTCTTGAGTGGTAACAGCTAATTTACACCCCATCATTTCATATGTATAGTTGGGATTATGTTTTCCAGTGTGCATTACTTTGCATTTATCAACATTGAATTTCATCTGCCATTTTGTTGCCCAGTCACCCAGTTTTGCGAGATCCTTTTGTAGCTCTTCACAGTCTGCCTGAGACTGAACTATCTTGAGTAGTTTTGTATCATCTGCAAATTTTGCCACCTCACTGTTTACCCCCTTTCCCAGATCATTTATGAATATGTTGAATAGGACTGGGACCCCAGTACAGACCCCTGCGGGACATCACTATTTACTTCTCTCCATTCTGAAAACTGACCACTGTTTCCTATCTTTTAACCAGTTACCAATCCAAGAGAGGACCTTCCCTCTTATCCCATGACAGCTTATTTTGCTTAAGAGCCTCTGGTGAGGGATCTTGTCAAAGGCTTTCTGAAAAATCTAAAGTAAACTATATCCACTAGATCCCCCTTGTCCACATGCTTGTTGACCCCCTTAAAGAATTCTAATAGATTCCTGAGGCATGATTTCCCTTTA